CTTTTAACAGTAGAGTCTGTCTCAGTGCCGATCACTTACATATGACCCTTCACGACTGTTTGACCCTCTTGACATTTTTGCACCCTGTCAGCAACCTTACAGTGACATTTCAAGCCATTTATTATGTTTGTTCTCTATTGAAATTTCAATTTTGGTGACATTTCCACCTAGATTTAGCATGGTAATTTTATCATCTAGTGAGTAATTACTTTGTGTAAATTCATTGTTGCTTTCTGTGAAAGACTTTCATAATTTTTCAATTTGTGAGTAAGCCAAATATTTTATGTCGATCAATTTTCATCTGCCTTTACATCTTGGTATATATAATCTATCCACACAACTTTTAGGATGGTGTTTACAATATTTTATCATTATTTTTCTTGTACATCCATTTAGCTCTTTCAAATCTGTATCACTCCACTTTAAGATGACAAATGTGTGTGTGTGTGTGCACTGGTATTGCCCATGTATTCATTGCCAATATTGCAATTGCAGGCATTGAGTTCTGTTTTTAATAAAGATTTTAAATGGTTTCCATATTTTTCTTTGAAGAGCTTTTTAAGTTCTGTATGATTCAGATCTATTTTGCAATATTTCCAGATATTTGTAAGTTTGATGTTCTTGAATGAGTTTATAATGTTGTTCATATCAATGTTGTAATTTGTTCCATTTGAAAAAACCTGCCCTTTTTTTACGTGTAACATTACACATGTTTCAACTCAGTGTCATTCTAATATCTTGACTGTAATATGATGTTATGCATATAAACTTGTCTAGTTGTTTTGGTGAAGCTGAAAAAAGTTTGACATCATCCAAATACATTAAATGTGATATTTGTATATTTTGTCTTACATTTTTTTAAAGTATAATCTTTCTTTTGATTGTTTAGTTGTTTTGACAATGGATTTAATGTTAGGCAGAATTATAATGGGCTCAATGAATCACCTTGAAAGATGTCCCTGTTTATATCAATATCTTTAGTTGTACAAAATTAAAATGTGGAAACACATCATTGTTTCATTATAACAGACAAATAATTAATAGTAGTGTCATCAATTTTATAGATTTTGAGTATTTCCAATAGTCACGAATGAGGTATTGAGTCAAAGGCTTTTTGGTAGTCTATATAAGCCATTGATAAATTTTGATTTTCTTCTGGCATGATTCAATATAAAGCTATTAATAGTCGATTTTTCCTTGCAACCCATAGAGCACTTGATACAACTTTTTTGTTGAGTGAGTATGTTTGATTCTATATGTTTATATATTTTATGTATTGTTAGTAAGCAGTTAATTTGACAATAATTTTTTTGAATTGCTTGCATCTCCTGATTTGTAGATTACATATGTAATTCCATGTGAGGTAATTTGGTATAATATTATCATTTTTGTGTCATTTAAAAATGTTGTAATCAAATATTTGTGAGCACTTGTAAATTTTTTTTCTGCCAGAAATTTACCATCAACTCTTGAGGCTTTCCAGTTCTGTGTTTTATTTATAGCTTCTTTTAAGTTGTCTTTAGTTATATTGCATTCAGGCATTGAGCAAATATTTTCAGTATTAGCTTTTCACTTAATATCCATTCTGCCTGTACATTGCATTGTACTGATGATCAATTATTTTTCTAATACTCAAGCAATTTTTCTTTGTCTATAGAATTTTCTGATCTCACTTGTTTTACTATATTCAATGATTTGTAAAATTTTCTATGATTATAAAAGCATATTTTGTTGTTTTCTCTTCATACATTTGCAATATCTTGTGAGTCTAGTATCTTTTGCCTTCAATTTTTGTTTTAGGGTGTTTATATAATCTTGAAGTATATGATTTGTATTTTTATCAATTATTTTAAACTTTAATTTTTAATATTGGTTGTAGTTTGGCTTTCAATGCATATGATCATTTTGTTTTGCACATATACTGTTATTTGACCAATTTGGCTTCTTATATTGTTAGATTTTTTTAAAAATCTTATTAAACATGATAGTTTTTGCAGCTTATTTATTTTTTGTATTTCATTTTTGTGTCAATTAATCAGTTATATTTATTTTCAAAATTTCCATAATTGTTAATCCACCACAATACACGTAGCCCTCTGTTTACACCAGCTCAATTTACACCAATTCACAATAACACCGCTGTGCAATTCGCCGTTTTGCGGTGTAATTCCCCAATTTTCCCTATGTTAGACTGATTTTCATTTCAATGTTGACGTATTTACTGAGCCGTGACATTGTACATTCGTTAAAACAAAGATTTTTATTGAATATATTTATTTTTTCTGTTTAATATTATTGGGTATGTATACATTTGCATTAAATTAATATTAAAATACTAAACGTTTAGGTACCCATGAGTCAAGTTATTAAACTTGATACTCCAATAAATGGCGTCCGAATCCATAGCGCCAATGAATGTATCCCGTATCAGTTTGTTCAGGAAAACACCTTACGATGCAGTAGCACTTCCAGTGATCACAAACTATCATTAGTGAGACAAATCTACTTCTTGTTGGCAAGATGATATCTATCTCTCCTTAACCACCTTGAATTTTTTTGCTCAAACTGACCTTATATATGCGCTACAGCGACCAGAGGTTGACCAATCAGTGTCTCTGCTTGTCTGTAGCTCTACATTGGGATAATGTATCATTTTAACTATGGAAAGTTTGACGGATAAACTTTGTGAGTTAGACAATGATTGGGAGCGAAGTGCAAATGATGTAAAAAGGAGCATCATTGCATCTATTCAACCATATTCTGAAATTCTCAATGAAAGAAAACAAAAATGTAAACAATTAAAGATGGATACTTTTTCCGAAAAATGTAAGAGATCCGAAACTAAAATTTTTTAATAAAAACATTTCACTTTATTTTATGATAAAAAAAACATTTTATCAATTAAATTTATTTGTATTTTGTATTATATTGTATTAATAAACAAAATTATTTGTGTATTTTTCACTTATGTAGAACCTAACCCTATATCTCAGTGTAAATATGGGTTCATTTTACGCCAATTTGATTTGCACTGGCTTTTGTAGGAACGGAACTGCTGCGTAAACCGAGGGCTACCTGTATATTAATTTTTCAATAAAATGAAAACATGAACAAATAGCAAAATACTTTTCCCAGAGAATGCAAAATTTATATTTTGAAAATTTTATATTAGCAAAATAAGAATATATTTGTAAAAATGAAGTCTTTTCTGCAAGAAAATATGAAAATGTATTTTTAAATTAAAAATATCACTTGTCATTTTATCATTGATATAATTTCACATTTCTTTAAACTTTGAGAAAATGTTATTTAATTATTAAACAGAAGAATTGAAATATTGAAGAATACTTTGTAGAGATACATATAGGCATGGTCAATAGTGCACAGGTGATCAGTCATTTGGTAGTAGTGGAGAAAGTAATTGATACTAAATATTAGAAAGTCCTAAAAATTTTAAATTTAATGAATTATAACAGATAAACTACATTCACAAAACATTGGGACGAAATCAACACGTACCTGAACCAATTACTGGTGTTGGAGAAAGGATGAATAAAATAGAATAGAAGAACTAGTAAGGTTCGAAAACGTTTACGATTTTATTCATCCTTTCTCCAACACCGGTAATTGATTCAGGTACGTGTTGATTTATAACAGATAACTACAGGAATGCATGATACCTTCATTTTATGTTGATAATGCATTCCTAGAAGAGGCAGCAGAAAAAATAAGATTGGAACAAAATTAATCCATTTTATTATGGAAGAAATAAACACGTTTTTATAGAAAAAAAATATTTAATATCAAAACTTTTACTAACGTAATATATGATATAAAATAATATCGAAATTGAAACTTATTTATGACTGAAATTAATGATACAATTTTTACTTCATCATTTGGATTGATCTTGTATCAGCAGTGCCACTGGATGTGACTTCAGTTCTGTGATGATGGCTTAAAGATCATTATTGGATGGGCTAGGCTGAGGATGCATATTTTGTAAAATTTGAATCTGGACTTGTTTGCTACGTCTTTCTTTTCCTTTCCTTGAAAATTTCATAAGTTGCTAAGGTTTAATTTAAACTCCCAGTTATTTTGTTCCCAGTCAGTGACCATTTTGCAACCTTCTTTATTCATTGAGTTTGCATTAGCAAGAAATAATTTATGGCTACTTCTAAAGTTATGGGTTGACATGATTTCTTGATGACTTGAACATTTGGATTCACTAATTTCCTTTCTCTTTCTCTCATGTTCTTTTTATTTTATCATGCAATAACTTTAAAATGATGAAATACCATGTGAACAATAAATACTTTAGAATAATGAACAAACCAACACTTCCTAATATAGTGATTATTAAAGCAAAGTTGCTATGAGCACTACCAGTGCTACCACCAAGCATGAGAAGATATTTGCATTTAGCATTTGCAAAAAATATTTTATAAAAGTTATTTTACATATTGAAAAAATTGAGATTGGTTTCAAATTTTTCCCAAATAATTATTAATTGTAAGTTCTCAATTGGTTTATATCAAGCTGGTTTAAAATGAAGGCAACCTGTGTCACCAAACACAACAATGGTCAGTTTTATGTAAAATTGATTAAAAAGTAAATATAAAACTTACAATGATTTCACAATTTTTTTCAATGGATATGAGAAGTCAATCACTTGCATGTGAAAATTGTGCCTTTTTTTTCAGATTAGGCCAAACTTTGAAAAGATGAAATTTTAAATACACTAGACTTTGCTAATCCAGTCATTCCTTGCCCAGAGAGATGCCAGATTACTGAGCTATACTGTATGCTGGATAGTTGCATTTGGCTTTTAACATACTCAAGCCTCTCAAGTATGTTACAAGCCACATACAGTAAATTTTGAGAAAAATTTTATTTTTTCAGTATGAGTTGCCATTCTATATTTGCAATTATAGTAAAATTTTTTATTTTGCTGATTCAAATATTATATATTTATTATACCAATAAAATTTGATTTATAGGATGATGAAAAAGAAGAAACTGTAAATGGAAGGAAAAGGTATGAAAATGGTGAGGATAAACAATCAAATGAAGAAATCTCAAATGAAAAAGATAAAGATGTTTTAGAAACAGACGAATGTAAAAAAATAATAGAATCTATTAGCAACAATGAAAAATCTGAAAGTAAGTTTATAGAAATATTTGCTATATAATGTAAACATAATTTTTATACTATAGAAAAGATTTTCCTACTTTTCTTAATTTTTGCTAATTGCACAATATTTTTAACTTCTTAAAAAAAAAAAAAATTAAAATTTTTCAGAAATATTTACTTTTCTTGTTCTCAGAATATTATTAAATCTTTCAAATTACTTCATTTGGTTTTTAACTGATATAACTGATTTTAGTTTGTAACTAATATATGTTTTTAATTTTTATGTTCCTTCTTAATTGAAGTTTTTAGACTATTTACAAAAAATTAAATTTTTTAGTCTATCTTTTTAAATCCCTTATACACCCCCACAGAAGTAACAGTTTTAAAAAATTGCTTTTGAGGAAAAACATCTAATGAAGAAAACACTTCTAAAACAGGTAAAAATTGGTAGAAAAGTCCACAAAGTTAAAAAAGATCAAGTGCCAGCCTTTTCTTTTAGGTTCTGACACTTTTTACATTAAAACCATAATGAATTCTTCATACCATATTATATTATCCACTTTTAAACTGCTTCTGGCCCTCTAGTGGTAGTTACGAGAAATCTACATTATTTGCATATAGTTACAATTTTTGTGATAACTCAGGATATATTTTTTTTCCTTCTTAATTGAAGTTTTTAGACTATTTACAAAAAATTAAATTTTTCGAGTCTATCTTTTTAAATTCCTTATACACCACCACAGAAGTAAGTTTTAAAAAATTGNTTCTAAAACAGGTAAAAATTGGTAGAAAAGTCCACAAAGTTAAAAAAGATCAAGTGCCAGCCTTTTCTTTTAGGTTCTGACACTTTTTACATTAAAACCATAATGAATTCTTCATACCATATTATATTATCCACTTTTAAACTGCTTCTGGCCCTCTAGTGGTAGTTACGAGAAATCTACATTATTTGCATATAGTTACAATTTTTGTGATAACTCAGGATATATTTTTTTTCCTTCTTAATTGAAGTTTTTAGACTATTTACAAAAAATTAAATTTTTCGAGTCTATCTTTTTAAATTCCTTATACACCACCACAGAAGTAAGTTTTAAAAAATTGCTTTTGAAGAAAAACTTCTAATGAAGAAAACACTTCTAAAACAAAAAAAAAATTTAATTTTTATGGCTTTATTTGATCAAAATGAACAAAATATTGTATGTATATGTATGCATATTTATGCTTATTAGTCTCTTCAGAATTTTCTCATGTCAGAAATATGAAAAAGACATACTTTTCCTTTACTCACCCACTAAAATGCTAATATTGTTTTTTAAAAATTTGTTTCAATTTTCAATCTATTTTTTATCACTATGAAAATGTAATTATAAGACTTTGAAAAGTTATATTTTCTTATTTTTTTACAATTATATACTATGAATGTGAACTGGAAGATTCCAGCAAGTTTGTGTTTGTAAGCAATTTATTTTAATAACAAGTTACTCAAATTTTCTTAGATTCTAGTCTTCTGAAAACTTCAGAAATATATATTTAACATATACTTGCAATATGAATTAAATAACTGCAGAGATGTTTAATTAAATGGTGTAATTTGACTTATGGGCAATAAATGTTAAACTTGAATGACAATATTGATTATGATGATACTTTGTTTTAAAATCATTTCAAATAAATTTAATACAAAATTATGAAGAAAGATATACCATAAGAATATGAATAATTTGGAAGTTTTTCTATAATTTTCAATTGTGTATGAAAGACTAACTTCATAAATACAGTTTAAAGTGTGATAGTTTTTAATAGCTACACATTCCAAATATTAATAGAAAAAGATATCTACATTAAGTGTTTTTTTATTGAATAAAATTTTAGAATTTTATGATATATTTTTTTAATTTTGGGATCATATAATGCATGATATATTTGACAGATGATAGAAAAAACATTTATCAATATTATATAGACTATACTATGTGTATTATATAGTATGTAATATATAGTATTGATAAATGTTTTTTCTATCATCAGTCAAATATAACATGCATTATATGATCCAAAAATTAAAAAATACACAATTTTAAAATATATATATATATATATATATTATTTTTTCTATTCCTTTATTTCTGTAGATTCTGAAGTAGTTGATAACACTAAAGAAGTTCTAAAGAAAGCAGCAATAACTGTTGGCTCATTAAAAGAAGCAGGTAAATTATTATCATAATAAATTAATGTTTAGATAGAAAATCAATTACAATATTTACATTTATTTATTTCAGAATTTGATATAAGATTTAATCCCGATGTATATTCTGTAGGTGTTAAACATGTGATGTCAGAGGTGAGTGATATGGTTAACACACAATTATAACATGTAGAATACAGTATGGTCTTGTTTTATGTGGGATTATGTCAACAGGTACCATATAAAAAAATTGTGTAATTTGTGCTTCAAGCACAATTCCAAGCAATCTCAAATGATTGCCTAGACCAGGGATGGGCAACCTTTTTCTATGTATGGGCAATATTTAAAACTTTTAAACTGATGCAGGCCACACACAAGAAAAAAGAAAAAAAAATACAGATAGATAAGTTATTTATTCATATATGATTATAAATTAATGTAAGTATACTTAATTTGACTTCTGGAACTGATGTGAACATAGTATATCCAAAATATTTGGTTACTGCTAGTTTTTTAAAATTAATTTTAATGTGAGTTTGTTTGCTGATTTCTTGTTTTACTTTTTACTAAATTCATTGATGAAAAAATGTACTTAAGTTGTAGAAAATTAAGAAAAATGCAGCAAAAATTCTATTGTTAAGGTGGGAAATTGGTATATTTATTATTTTGTGCAATGCGGGCTACAAGTTGCCAATCTCTGGCTAAGACACACAACTATTTTACAATTAACAAAAAATAAAATAAAATCTGTTTAAAATATTTTAATTATGCTTTTATTATAATGAGTAACATTTTAGTTTGATGTTTCTGAATATACAGAGCAAAATTTTATTACATAGTCTCAAGTCACTACTTGAGAAAAATACATGCAAACAAAAGTATTCACTGATTCAAGGATTCTGATATTCCAAATGCTAAGTACTATTGAATTGCATTCAATAGTACTTAGCATTTGGAATATCAGAAGCATAGTTCAGACTTAGAGCCAAATACTATTGGGTTGTTTCGAAAGTAAGTTCGTTTTTTTCCGTGGAAAAAAACTCAATACAGTAGAGTGTCGGTTATCCGAAACGTTGGCTATCCGAAAGAATTCCAGTTGGCAAATTTAAATTTTTGCTAGTGCTGTGGCACTGCAATCTTTGGCTATGTCTTGGGCTACTCAAATATTTTACGTTTTTGATACTAAATTAACTTCTGAAGTATAATTTTTTTATTGTTTTTATATTTTTCAATATATTTATTTTGTTTGTACAAAATAAAGATATAATTTTTAATGATACAATAGCCACGATTATTATTTTAAAAAGTTTATGTTAGGCTTAACATCGACGAAAATTCAATGCAAAGCGACACGCAACGGAGAAAAATTTCAGGATGGGATAGGTTAATATTAGTGTTGTAACGAATAGTATATTCGGCCTCAGGCCAAATACCGAATATACGGCCAGGAGCGTATACAAATATTCGGCTATTCGGCCAAACTATTCGGCTTGATTAACGCACGTACAAAAATTGGCGCGCAAACCACATTATGGCTGGATCCTCTATACGCTTCGCCAATCGCGTTAATTCTTGGCAGTTGTAGCGGACAGACAAGAGTGTCATGGAAGTATGTGATAAATGATGATATCAAATGACCTACACTTGTAAATAACGGAAAAAGAACAGAGAAGAACCGCAAAGTGAAAATAAATATGAAATTGAGTTGATAACATAATCGAACAAGTCGAGGCAGCTTATTGGCACGAAATTTGCGGCCGTCAATGCCAAACAATTGTTATCATAGACTTCGGGAAGCTAAATGCTTGTAATGAAAGTCACTTAGCGTGCACGGGCGAAAGCCTGGGGCTGTTCGGGCTATCAAGCTGTCTCGAATCTGTGAAATCATAACTGTAACTTATATCGACGTCCTATCTGTCTCTTTTCTCCGTTATCACCAGGCTGAGTCACGTAATTGTAAAATAGGAACTCTACGACGGAAAAGTGACGAATCGAAAGTATTGAGAGCGCGTATTATGATGTATGCACAGCCATACATGGATTAGAGCGATAGAGGTAAGAGAAATGGAAGAGCAAAGACGAGCGCTTAAAAAGAAGGATAGGCAGGGTCAGACCCTCAGATGTGCGACGATTCTCGAACAAATAGGTGTGTATGTGTGCTGATCTTTGTAATTATAAATTGTGAATACAAGTGACTAATATTATGTTCTTTTTTATTTTGTGCATGTTACAAGTTATAAATAAATATAAACAAACAACACTAACTCGATAACATTAAATCTAAATACCAAAATGATTAATTTACTGTGTTTTTGTTATTTATTACTCCTGCTTTTAGGTATTCGGTATTCGGCCGAATAGTGATTAAATATTCGGTATTCGGCTGAATAGTGAAAAATAGGCCGAATACTGAATAGTAACCGAATATTCATTACATCACTAGTTAATATATTTTTTCGTACGTAATCGGTTATCCGAAAAATAAGTTATCCGAACAACCCCAGTCCCCAATTGATTCAGATAAACGATGCTCTACTGCATTTTTATAATAAATAAATATTTTATTGAATTATATATCGACCATTTTGGTCAAATACCTGTTGTCATCATTTCTGGTAGTAGCATGATTTCACATTCATAAAAGTTTTTGTTGCTTACAAAAACTGATTCAAGTGATTTTTGACATTGTCATTTCAAGTAAATGTCGTACAGTTAAAAATAATTTGTATAGACCAGAATAAGTAATAATCTGAGTGTGCTCGATCTGGCGAATATGGTTGGTGTGATAGCACGTCCCATCTAAGTTATAACCATTTCTGACCAGTTACCAAACTTGTGTGAAATTTGACATTATCGTGGTAAAACACTATACCTGTTTTGTCGTCAATTCTGGCCGCCTTTTCTGTTTGATGATATTACTCAATTTGTTTACTCAAAGGCAGTACACTTTCGAATCAATTGTTAAATTGTCTGGTAAAAGCTCCAAAAAAAAATTTCCTTCAAATCCCACCAAAGAGATTCTCTCTTTGGTGGAACCCATATATCAAGCTTTGAAGCGAAACCAATTTGTTTCAAGTAATCATAAATGGTTCAATTTGACAAATTTAATCTCTTAGTGATTTTACATGTTGTTATTCAGCAGTTTGCTTCAATCAGTACGTTTATTTTGTTTTCATTGGCTTCAATTGGCCATCCAGAATGTGGTGCATCTTCAATATTGAAATTGCCAAAACAAAATTTTGCAAACCAGTTTTGGCACTGTCTTTCTCTCAACACATCATCTCCATATATGTACCACAATTTTTTTCTTGCTTGAACAGCATTTTGATTTTTTGGTAATAAAAAAGCAAAATATGCCAAAAATGATGTTTTCAATCTTCCATATTTGATGGGACATAAAAAATAAACAATTGCGCAGAATCAAACAAAATTTTTTACAAAAGCCTTAAAATGCTCGCTGTCAAAATATATAATGATGATATGGTTTAGAATGAAAATGGCAGGAAAAATACGACCAGTCCATCTAGTGGTAAAAAAACAAACTTACTTTCCAAATAACCTAATATTATACTAGGAGTGGTCTAACCATTTGCCATCTGCAAAAACAAATTTACCTCTAATAATCTTGCATAAAACAAGATAATATTGCATATTGAAGTTACATTTTTCATTTTGTTTAAATTCAGATTTATAAAATTATTAAACATTTTAAATGTTTAATTTAAACAATAGTTTCAGGAAACCCTGTATATGTATCTTTTTTTATTGTTTAAGTCACAGATCATGTTTTTATTGATCAATTGATTATATGTTGCCCTTCGAACATCATCAAGATTTTAAAAAATATAAACATCTTTGTCAATGCTTTCTTTATAATGTATGATCCTTATTTCTTTTTATCATTTATTTATTTTTTAAAATATTTTACTTCGTGTTTTTGATTTATTTTTGATTATATTTTATTGTATTTTGGGGTAAATTGTTATTTGGGGGATGGAAATCTTTTGTCAACTGACAGTTTCAATTATATGTAAAATAAATAAAAGTTATTTTATTTTCAATTAATTATTATAGCTAATTATAACTTTCAATTATATTTAAACTTTTTTGCTAAAAAGGCATATATTTCATAACAATAAACCTTATCAGGAGTCTCCTCAGCTTTAGGTTTTTTCCTTCTAAATCAGATCATAAGTTAAAGTGTTTTGACTTTTGTAATCAATTCAGATTTTAAATGAAATTAATGAACGTATGATTTAAAAATTACTATCATTTCAATTTTTCCAATCCCTTTTGCATCATTGTTAAATTTAATTTGAAATAAAATCTAGTTAATTTTGCCTTTGAGGAACAGCATTTTCTCTGACTTTTTTGATATCTTGCCTTTCAGAGTCTTTTGCTTAGATGGCATTGCTGATTTGTAAATACAAAAAAAATTTAAATGATTAAAATCTTCAAGGAAACCCTAATTCTGACATTCAAAATCCATTCTAATATCACAAACATTGTTCACTATCTATAAGTGAATGTATTAAAATAACACAAACTATGAGGTAATATTCACTAGCACAATAATAGTTGACAATTCAGTTTGTATTATAACATACTTTAGAGACAATTAAATGACTTTTAGATGTTTTTATCTGTTTCATTAATTTTAATTCTTCTGCAAATAAGCAAATTTTAGTTTTGCAAATGTGAAAAAGTACTGAACTACAAATATGCAGTATGTTTATAATGTATATAAGGAGATTATTCTGTATATCCATTTAATACGATGTCTCCAAAGATGATTTACTTTTCTGATATTGGAGGTTTAATGAATTCTTCCAATATTTTAAATTTTTCAAATGAACACCATGAATATCTATATCTATACTAATATTATAAACAGATAAAGTTTATAAGTTTGGATGTTAGGAGGTAATCTCCGAAACTACTCATCTGATTTCAAAAATTCTTTCACCAATATTTAGAATGGACCTTCAGGGTGGACATAGGCTGTATATTATTCCATTAAACATTCATAAATTAAAAGATGTCACCTAGATAAGTGTTATATTTTTAGTGTCAGCGGGTGGCGAAGGGCAAGATGCATATGTATACGAGATAGGTAACAGTGTGGTGCAATTGTGTGGTCGGTAAGATATGCAGTGCACGTGTCCGAACTTGTTTTTAATATTTTGCTTTTATCTATTTATCTATATAAATAAAAATGTAAATGTTTGTTTGTTCAAAATCTTAAATCTCCGAAAGTTCTTCACCAATTGCTTTGAAATTTTGAAACAACATTGTATTCGAATACACACATGTTGTTATATTATATAGATGTCAAAATTCCCTCTGCGAGGAAGAGGGACAAAGTTAAGGCTTACAGTGAAGAACTGGGCTTCTATTATACTATTTTAGATGCAGTTTTTTGCATTTTTGATTGCATTTTAATAGGGTATGTCAAGAAAATGTACTCTAAGAAGGAATTTTTTGAAATTCCCACTTGCAGGGAGTGTTACACATTTATAATAGATACATTTTTAGCCACAGCAACGCATGGCCGGGTACAGCTAGTAAAGAATAAATTAATGGCAAATGTAAACACAAATAGGGAATATCATTTAATGTAGTATTGTTTGAATTGCTAATATATTTTCAGTTAATTGACTAATTTAAATTATATTTTATAGGAAGGAAGACTTGAAAAAGAACGACAGTTAGTAAAGGATGCAGCAGATTTCCTCATTACTGTACAGATACCTGGATTTGTAAGTAATTGTATTATGTTTCTAATGGAAATCCATTTAATTTTCAATTAATAATTTGCATATTATGTATATATTATTCTTAACATGTTTAGATTCGTGATTGTCTTGAACATTCATCATCTCCAATTGATGGCATAACTTTGACTGAATCACTTCATGGAAGGTAATAATTCATGATTTTGTTTATAATTTATATATTGAAGTTATAAAATACAGTAGAGCCTCGAAAACTCGGCACTCGATAACCCGGCACTCCGGATAACTCGGCCACACCCTGGCAGGGCAAAAATAACCTTAGATAATTAATTTTCATCATAGACAGCTTTATGCCTCATAAAGTATTTTTCTGAGGTCTGNAACAATTAAAGATGGATACTTTTTCCGAAAAATGTAAGAGATCCGAAACTAAAATTTTTTAATAAAAACATTTCACTTTATTTTATGATAAAAAAAACATTTTATCAATTAAATTTATTTGTATTTTGTATTATATTGTATTAATAAACAAAATTATTTGTGTATTTTTCACTTATGTAGAACCTAACCCTATATCTCAGTGTAAATATGGGTTCATTTTACGCCAATTTGATTTGCACTGGCTTTTGTAGGAACGGAACTGCTGCGTAAACCGAGGGCTACCTGTATATTAATTTTTCAATAAAATGAAAACATGAACAAATAGCAAAATACTTTTCCCAGAGAATGCAAAATTTATATTTTGAAAATTTTATATTAGCAAAATAAGAATATATTTGTAAAAATGAAGTCTTTTCTGCAAGAAAATATGAAAATGTATTTTTAAATTAAAAATATCACTTGTCATTTTATCATTGATATAATTTCACATTTCTTTAAACTTTGAGAAAATGTTATTTAATTATTAAACAGAAGAATTGAAATATTGAAGAATACTTTGTAGAGATACATATAGGCATGGTCAATAGTGCACAGGTGATCAGTCATTTGGTAGTAGTGGAGAAAGTAATTGATACTAAATATTAGAAAGTCCTAAAAATTTTAAATTTAATGAATTATAACAGATAAACTACATTCACAAAACATTGGGACGAAATCAACACGTACCTGAACCAATTACTGGTGTTGGAGAAAGGATGAATAAAATAGAATAGAAGAACTAGTAAGGTTCGAAAACGTTTACGATTTTATTCATCCTTTCTCCAACACCGGTAATTGATTCAGGTACGTGTTGATTTATAACAGATAACTACAGGAATGCATGATACCTTCATTTTATGTTGATAATGCATTCCTAGAAGAGGCAGCAGAAAAAATAAGATTGGAACAAAATTAATCCATTTTATTATGGAAGAAATAAACACGTTTTTATAGAAAAAAAATATTTAATATCAAAACTTTTACTAACGTAATATATGATATAAAATAATATCGAAATTGAAACTTATTTATGACTGAAATTAATGATACAATTTTTACTTCATCATTTGGATTGATCTTGTATCAGCAGTGCCACTGGATGTGACTTCAGTTCTGTGATGATGGCTTAAAGATCATTATTGGATGGGCTAGGCTGAGGATGCATATTTTGTAAAATTTGAATCTGGACTTGTTTGCTACGTCTTTCTTTTCCTTTCCTTGAAAATTTCATAAGTTGCTAAGGTTTAATTTAAACTCCCAGTTATTTTGTTCCCAGTCAGTGACCATTTTGCAACCTTCTTTATTCATTGAGTTTGCATTAGCAAGAAATAATTTATGGCTACTTCTAAAGTTATGGGTTGACATGATTTCTTGATGACTTGAACATTTGGATTCACTAATTTCCTTTCTCTTTCTCTCATGTTCTTTTTATTTTATCATGCAATAACTTTAAAATGATGAAATACCATGTGAACAATAAATACTTTAGAATAATGAACAAACCAACACTTCCTAATATAGTGATTATTAAAGCAAAGTTGCTATGAGCACTACCAGTGCTACCACCAAGCATGAGAAGATATTTGCATTTAGCATTTGCAAAAAATATTTTATAAAAGTTATTTTACATATTGAAAAAATTGAGATTGGTTTCAAATTTTTCCCAAATAATTATTAATTGTAAGTTCTCAATTGGTTTATATCAAGCTGGTTTAAAATGAAGGCAACCTGTGTCACCAAACACAACAATGGTCAGTTTTATGTAAAATTGATTAAAAAGTAAATATAAAACTTACAATGATTTCACAATTTTTTTCAATGGATATGAGAAGTCAATCACTTGCATGTGAAAATTGTGCCTTTTTTTTCAGATTAGGCCAAACTTTGAAAAGATGAAATTTTAAATACACTAGACTTTGCTAATCCAGTCATTCCTTGCCCAGAGAGATGCCAGATTACTGAGCTATACTGTATGCTGGATAGTTGCATTTGGCTTTTAACATACTCAAGCCTCTCAAGTATGTTACAAGCCACATACAGTAAATTTTGAGAAAAATTTTATTTTTTCAGTATGAGTTGCCATTCTATATTTGCAATTATAGTAAAATTTTTTATTTTGCTGATTCAAATATTATATATTTATTATACCAATAAAATTTGATTTATAGGATGATGAAAAAGAAGAAACTGTAAATGGAAGGAAAAGGTATGAAAATGGTGAGGATAAACAATCAAATGAAGAAATCTCAAATGAAAAAGATAAAGATGTTTTAGAAACAGACGAATGTAAAAAAATAATAGAATCTATTAGCAACAATGAAAAATCTGAAAGTAAGTTTATAGAAATATTTGCTATATAATGTAAACATAATTTTTATACTATAGAAAAGATTTTCCTACTTTTCTTAATTTTTGCTAATTGCACAATATTTTTAACTTCTTAAAAAAAAAAAAAATTAAAATTTTTCAGAAATATTTACTTTTCTTGTTCTCAGAATATTATTAAATCTTTCAAATTACTTCATTTGGTTTTTAACTGATATAACTGATTTTAGTTTGTAACTAATATATGTTTTTAATTTTTATGTTCCTTCTTAATTGAAGTTTTTAGACTATTTACAAAAAATTAAATTTTTTAGTCTATCTTTTTAAATCCCTTATACACCCCCACAGAAGTAACAGTTTTAAAAAATTGCTTTTGAGGAAAAACATCTAATGAAGAAAACACTTCTAAAACAGGTAAAAATTGGTAGAAAAGTCCACAAAGTTAAAAAAGATCAAGTGCCAGCCTTTTCTTTTAGGTTCTGACACTTTTTACATTAAAACCATAATGAATTCTTCATACCATATTATATTATCCACTTTTAAACTGCTTCTGGCCCTCTAGTGGTAGTTACGAGAAATCTACATTATTTGCATATAGTTACAATTTTTGTGATAACTCAGGATATATTTTTTTTCCTTCTTAATTGAAGTTTTTAGACTATTTACAAAAAATTAAATTTTTCGAGTCTATCTTTTTAAATTCCTTATACACCACCACAGAAGTAAGTTTTAAAAAATTGCTTTTGAAGAAAAACTTCTAATGAAGAAAACACTTCTAAAACAAAAAAAAAATTTAATTTTTATGGCTTTATTTGATCAAAATGAACAAAATATTGTATGTATATGTATGCATATTTATGCTTATTAGTCTCTTCAGAATTTTCTCATGTCAGAAATATGAAAAAGACATACTTTTCCTTTACTCACCCACTAAAATGCTAATATTGTTTTTTAAAAATTTGTTTCAATTTTCAATCTATTTTTTATCACTATGAAAATGTAATTATAAGACTTTGAAAAGTTATATTTTCTTATTTTTTTACAATTATATACTATGAATGTGAACTGGAAGATTCCAGCAAGTTTGTGTTTGTAAGCAATTTATTTTAATAACAAGTTACTCAAATTTTCTTAGATTCTAGTCTTCTGAAAACTTCAGAAATATATATTTAACATATACTTGCAATATGAATTAAATAACTGCAGAGATGTTTAATTAAATGGTGTAATTTGACTTATGGGCAATAAATGTTAAACTTGAATGACAATATTGATTATGATGATACTTTGTTTTAAAATCATTTCAAATAAATTTAATACAAAATTATGAAGAAAGATATACCATAAGAATATGAATAATTTGGAAGTTTTTCTATAATTTTCAATTGTGTATGAAAGACTAACTTCATAAATACAGTTTAAAGTGTGATAGTTTTTAATAGCTACACATTCCAAATATTAATAGAAAAAGATATCTACATTAAGTGTTTTTTTATTGAATAAAATTTTAGAATTTTATGATATATTTTTTTAATTTTGGGATCATATAATGCATGATATATTTGACAGATGATAGAAAAAACATTTATCAATATTATATAGACTATACTATGTGTATTATATAGTATGTAATATATAGTATTGATAAATGTTTTTTCTATCATCAGTCAAATATAACATGCATTATATGATCCAAAAATTAAAAAATACACAATTTTAAAATATATATATATATATATATTATTATAATA